AGTTATTACTAGATTAATACGCAAAAATAAAAAATTTACTAGAATAGCATATATATTTAAGTGAAAATTCTCAGACTAACCTTTAAGGTTAATGTATTGACAAACTTAGCCTCACATATTCATCAGCTTACTAGACTAACTTTAGAAAGTTGGTGTTATACCATTTTGTCCAAATAATCAATATTATTACCTGATTGCCATTGTAATTTTAAAAAAAACTTCAAATTATATACATACGTATATACACATATATACACGTATATACACAAACATTTCCCTAATTCTAAAATTAGAAATTACAAAACAAAAAAAAAACTGTAAACCCTAATCCGGCGGCGACGATATAGGCGATTCGGCGACGTTATAGGCGATTTAGGGTTTTCGGCGGCGAAGAAGGCGATTTTGGCAGCGACGAAAGGTTTTTCGGCCACTCATCTGGTAAGTGTTTCACATCTGGGTTCATTTCTCGTCTCGAACAAGTTTTTGTCTTGGGTTTTCGGGGTTATGTCGAAAACTGTCTACGCCTTTAGTCGCGACGGTTGTGTTTGGGTGTCAACGGTGGTTTCGCGCTAACGGCGGAAGAGAAACCATCTGTTCACATGATTTTACTCAGAAATCGTAACCCTTTTCTTATTTTTTTCAGGGAAGTATTATTATCGGCGGTTTCCGTCTTTGGAGAACGGTTTCCAGAGACCCTACACGATTTCCGGCGAGTAATTTCTGGTCGCAGTGGTTCGGTTCTAATTTTTTTTTGGTAGACTTTTCAGTAGTTGTTGCATTTGGTCGATTTGTATATGTGAGGTAGATTTGTTTTCTATGTGAGGTAGATTTGTTTTCGTTTCATTGTCTTGTTTGAATAATCAAAGTATTGTTGGTAGAGTTATTGTTGAGATTGTATTGGTAGATTTATGTATTGTTGGTTGATTTATTCCATGTGTGGTAGACTTTTGGTCGTATTTGGTAGAGTTATATACTATATTTGCTCCCGGGTTTGGTAAATTTTATATTATAGTTGCTTTCGAGTTTGGTAGACTTGTTCATGGTAGATTTGTTTTCATATGTGGTGAGTAATTTGTGTTTGTAATGATTGTGGGTTTAAAATTGCGTTTGGTAGACTTACGAATTCTATATTGCGTTCTCTCTTTGTGTGTGGTAGATTTATGTATTTATTTGGTAGATTTGTGTTGTATATTTTCTTTTCTTTTATTTGTGGTAGATTTGTGTTCGTTTTGGTAGATTTGTTAATGTTTTGTGGTAGGTATTCTATAGTTGTTGTCGAGTTTGGTAGACATGTGTTTGTTCATGGTAGATTTGTTTTGATGTGTGGTAGATCTGTAAGATTTTAATGTTTTTATTTGTTTGCAGACATGGCTTCAGCTAGCGGCTCAAAGGATTATCCCCAAAGATTTACCCGGAAGGCAAATCTCCT